ACCAGATCTATATTCGTGAACGAATTATGTCTAGAAAAATACGTGGGAGAACCGTCGTTTAATATTGTCAAGTTTTCTGCTAATAAAAGGTCTTCTATGATTTTACCTCTTTGGTTAGTATATGTGAAACCCCAAAGAGGGCTCCAGGCATTGAAATCGCCAAGTATAAGTACGGTTGTTTGGATTGGTCCGATTATATCGCGTAGTTCTTTGATATTGAAGTTTTGGTGTGGTGGAATGTAAATTGTTAGGATGGTTAATTTAAATCCAATAAATATTTCTATTGCTAGAAATAGAATAGAAATATTAAAACATGTAGGGAGAAATTTGTGTGGGAAGTATTTTTTTATGTAAGTAGCAACACCTTGTTTGTTAATAAGATTTTGTGTTAAATTGGAGAAATAGGCAGCGTATTGTTTGGGTACAGCAGCTGCGGAATTAAATGAAAGGTGTGCTTCTTGTGGTGATATATCACTTAGTGATTGCTCTTTTATGAGTAATTCTAGGTGAGTGAAATTGTTGATAATTCATTCATATTCCATTGGAAATTTGAACATTTATTAGTAATGTGAGTGATTGAGAAAAAGGAGAGGAGGGATAATGAGAGTTTTTGATCTTCATGGTCAGTTGTGGTAATTATATGAGGTGAGATATATTCTGAATAAGTAGCTGAAGCGAGAATATTTATATTGTCTGTAGAGAGAAAAGGAGATTGAATGTTAAGAGAATCTGTTGTGGATATTTTAGGAATGAGTGGTTTGCTTATTTTGGTAGGGTTTGTTATTGTTTGGGTAAGCATTAGGTTAGGAAGGTTTTTTGTTGTTTCTTTTGTAGTTTCATTTGGTGAGTTTAGATGTTTATCAATTACGAAATTCTTTTTGTTTACTATCATGGTTTGCTTTTGTTTTGGAAGAGGATAAGCTGTTGGGGATTTTAGTACAGTGTCTGTGGAGTGTGATATGGGAGGAGATGATTGAGCATTTATTTTCTGTTTTTATTTTGAGAATATTTTTGGATTGTAGGTATTTAGGACAAGAGCGTGAAGAGGAAGGATGATCGCCTGAGCAATTTGCASAAAATGTGCGGTTGCATGGCGAGGGGAGATGAGGATGGAAATTGCACATATCGCAAGCAGGGTTCTTGTTGCAACGTTTCGTTGTGTGTCCTAGAAGCTGGCAACTTTTACACCTCATTGGGTTAGGGAAATATGCTCTAATCCACATTGTGCGCCATGAGACTTCGATTTTTGCCTGAAGTTTGTAGAGGTCAAATGAAAGAAGTATCACAACACTAGGTCTCTGTTTTCCTTCTATATTTTTAGTGAATTTATGCACAAAAGTAACCCTGATCTTTTAAATGTACAACAATTTCATCTTCTGCAATATCATTTAAAAATGGGGCATAAATTGTAAATTTAGAGCAATTCAAATTGTCGTGTAACTTGTAACTTAACTTTAATATCGCGAATTCCATATCATTTCTTTGTTGTAAGAAATTTTTCAGTGATCTTCCGATTTCTAACAAGTAAGAGTATATTACAATCACGTAATTCGGTGACAGATAAAATTTCCTTACTTATTGTTTCTAAGCTTTTATGCACAGCGAAGTAGGAGTATTTGGAAAGTTTTCAGTTCGAATCTGCTTCAGATATTTGAACAAACTTTAGGCAATATTTTTTAATGTGAAGCCGTTCTGGAAAATTTTCATGTGGTTTGTATGTAAGTTTTTTCCTTTTGGGCTTGAGGCTAGAGGCAAGCAGAGCAAACTTCTTTTCCCGAGGTTAGGCGGCCCTGGGGCGATAATAAATCAAATATTCACTAATATGCACTGTTTTTTACGAGAGTAACCGTACGTTCAAAATAAAACGAAAACACGTGCACTTATATGCAAATTGAAATTTGCGAATAAAGCGTAAAGCACAAAMGAAAAACCGCGATTAGAMAACAYGTCCGCTTAATGAGAGAGATAATCGAAGACTGAGAGAACGTATATCATAGAAAACTTATAAGCGTGTTTCACCAAAGTTTTACATCAGGGGACTCGAAAATAGCATAGTTGAGCATTTTCAATATTAAATGAGAAAAACAATGTTAATTCCAAAGTTAAGGAATGCGCAAACGACTCTGCATATAATTCGTAGATGATCGGTATATACGAAAGCATACACTTAAATATATACATAYGTACAAGTATATATGTATACYATACATATGATACCATATATATAGTCATTTAAAATATATTATAGAATAAGGTTCGAATTATTACCTAAATGGAATCTGATATAAGTTTGTAGTAATTAGTTATAAATTTTGTAATGAAGCTTTTTGCTGCCCGTGCTTCTTATAACTTGCTGAGGTGCCCTCGCCGTGTCCAGGGTTCGTTACAATAAATTTGTAAACATTAGAACTCTCTACGAATCGTACTTTATTTAACTTATATAATATTTTTATCTTATAATTTTACTTATAGTTACAAATATTGTCTCCTGCGTTGTAATGTAGTAGCCCGAGGAAAGTACTGTGCCTGGGTAAGGGTCCACTAGGGCAATACGCTTTCCCGCTCTGCTGTGCTCTTTAGAGCTAGACGTAGTGCTGCTCTGTGCTATTTCTGCCGGCACTCGTGTAGACTTCGATAACTGTGCCCTKCTGTGGACGCTGAGGTTCCTGTGCCACGATCACCACGCTCGACTACTACTGTCAGAGCTCGTATAAGCTCCGGTGGCGATGTCCTGCGACATGCGTTGACGCTCCTGTGCTACGACGATCCCGCCAAGCTATTTCTGCCAGCGCTTGCGTAGGCTTCAATGACGGTGTTCTGGTGTACACGTTGACACTCCTTTGCTAYGACGACTGCGCACGATCACTTCGATCACGATGTCAGGGCGTATACGTGGACGCTCCTCTGCTACACTGGTTATGTTGAACTACTATAGTCGCGTAAAAATACCGGACCACGGTTGGCTTGGTCAGAGGATCAACTCACTACCAGGCTCATCCTTAACAGACGACATTCACAAGTAAGGGTATCAAAACTAGCTAGAGGATAAACTCACTCCGTACTCTGATGCTGAACTTGTGTACGTTAGCACATTCGACTGCTAGCCTGCCCACTGTAGCGTTCTTAGAGCTACTCCATACCAAATTCTTCGCTACCCCAATATCAGCGCGGTAGCAGCAATTCACCTGTTGTCTAAACAACAGCAACAGTATCAGGTACAGAAWTGCCAAAATTGTGCCAAGTATAGGGAATCAGGCTCATATTTTTAAGTTTTAGTCTTAAGCCAGACTTRAACAAAAGCACATAGTGCTTAATAAAAATGATTTGATTGTAAAAGTTTACTGTGATTTTATTTCCTGGACAACAGCACATAGTGCTTAAGGAGGTGACTGTAATTTTATTTCCTGGACAACAGCCCATAACACTGCAGAAATAATTGGCGCCCAACACGGATTGAACTAACATAACAAATACTGATGACTACAGGACTACTGAAGGATCAGCGAAACTATTCCAAAGACAATTGCCAGCATGATTTATATTATTACCAAACAAGAAGACAAGAATTATTTTCAACTCAAGGATAAGGCATCAAATTACATTTCAAAATTTCCAGAATATACTAGAATTGATTGTGATTAAGTGTACACTAAATATAGTGGGGTGCAGCTACCACTGCGTTAAATAATGAAAATATACGTTTTATTTTTATATATACTTTCTTTTTTCAACAATTTTATTTACGTCCTAATGGTGACTACCATATTAGTGTTAAACGGCAAAGCCTCATCTGGATCGAAGACTTTTGCATGTTTTTCCAATATAAAAGAAATCTTTTCCGTATTCCCTGGTTCCTAATTGGAATTCCCATTTCCAACTATTTTATTAACACTTTTACAATCATAATAAGACAATTTTTTCTCACCACCTTTATAGTGAAGGGTTCCCTTTTGCAAGTCTATTTTTGCGCCAACCTCTTTCAAGAGGTCAAACCCAATAATCCCGTCAAATGTTTTAAGTTCGGAAAGAAGGTAAAAAGGAGCCGTCTTTCCGATCACGTTAATTAAACATCTTTCCTTAATCACGGCAGTACTGTAGATTGACCTAACTTTAAATGAGTTTTTTACATTCTTTACCCCTTTTAAATTTTCATTGAGTTTGTCAAAAAATTTTCCCGCCCTGGTATCGATCAACAATTTCATCGTTCGCCCTGGCAATGACGTACCTACTTCTAAAAAATTTATTTCTTTCAGTTCTTTTTTGCTCACATTTAAGATTATACAATAGTTGTATTTATTATTAAAGTCAATTTCTTTTCAACCTCGTTGTAAAACTTTACAATTGAAAGTATCCTTTGCCTTCCTGTTCAATCAAATAGACTGGTCATTGGCCAGCATAAGTAGAGTCTAACCGCACGATGATCGCTTTAAAATTCAGCACGGTATTGAATGACACTTGGCCGAACCGACAATTTAATTTCTTATTATTGCTACCGCTTGGTAATGTTTCGAACTATTTTCGTAATTTTCAAACAGCTTATAGGCAGCAAATGCAGCTTGCCTCCAAATAACGTATCGTGTCCTTTCGCCACTCGCTTCCGGCAGAGATTTTATTATCACTGCTTCATATTCCTCCACTTCTAATGGAGCTTCTAAAGCCTTAAGTCATTCTGTCAGCTGTCCTATTGTCTCTGGAAGGAGTCCCTAGCCCTTTCCGTAGCTGCAGTGTCGACAGCTGTCACTATTACCCTCAATGTGTCGTCATTAACTTTGATGTCTCTTCTAAACTGACTACTTTTTTAATCCTTTACTATTTATTTTGTCCTACTTAATTCTTTAGTGCACTTAAACACAGTAAAACAATTTAGCCTTATGGGCCACTTTAAAAATTTTGTTTACACTTTAGAACATTTATTAATTTTCATTTAAAATTTTTGTTTATTTATTCATTTATTTATTTTTTAATTTTTTCTTTTCCTATATTAATCACTGAGTACTTACATGGTAATAATATAAATCATGCTGGCAATTGTCTTTGGAATAGTTTCGCTGATCCTTCAGTAGTCCTGTAGTCATCAGTATTTGTTATGTTAGTTCAATCCGTGTTGGGCGCCAATTATTTCTGCAGTGTTATGGGCTGTTGTCCAGGAAATAAAATTACAGTCACCTCCTTAAGCACTATGTGCTGTTGTCCAGGAAATAAAATCACAGTAAACTTTTACAATCAAATCATTTTTATTAAGCACTATGTGCTTTTGTTYAAGTCTGGCTTAAGACTAAAACTTAAAAATATGAGCCTGATTCCCTATACTTGGCACAATTTTGGCATTTCTGTACCTGATACTGTTGCTGTTGTTTAGACAACAGGTGAATTGCTGCTACCGCGCTGATATTGGAGTAGCGAAGAATTTGCCAGTTGATGAGAAAATGCTGACGCGGACTATTCTCACGCTTACTGGCTGAAGCAAAAAGCTTCATTACAAAATTTATAMCTAATTACTACAAASTTATATCAGATTCCATTTAGGTAATAATTCGAACCTTATTCTATAATATATTTTAAATGACTATATATATGGTATCATATGTATGGTATACATATATACTTGTACATATGTATATATTTAAGTGTATGCTTTCGTATATACCGATCATCTACGAATTATATGCAGAGTCGTTTGCGCATTCCTTAACTTTGGAATTAACATTGTTTTTCTCATTTAATATTGAAAATGCTCAACTATGCTATTTTCGAGTCCCCTGATGTAAAACTTTGGTGAAACACGCTTATAAGTTTTCTATGATATACGTTCTCTCAGTCTTCGATTATCTCTCTCATTAAGCGGACGTGTTGTCTAATCGCGGTTTTTCTTTTGTGCTTTACGCTTTATTCGCAAATTTCATTTTGCATATAAGTGCGCGTGTTTTCGTTTTATTTTGAACGTACGGTTACTCGCGTAAAAAACAGTGCATATTAGTGAATATTTGATTTATTATGGCCCCCGGGGCGCCTAACCCCGGGAAAATAGGTAGCTCGCCTCATGGGAACTAATTCAACCCTTTTGCTGATGCGTTCGGAAAACACCAGTAGTATTGTATAGTAATAGGTTGAGCGCGGTAAGGTTCCGATGAATTCGGTACAAACTGTCTTATGCCACCTGTGAAAGCATCTTCCCTGCAGGTCTCTGCTGTCCTTCCTTGTATGTATTTCTGGCAGGACTCGCACTGGCGTACGTACTGGCTAATCTTGCGGAACATTCCAGGCCAGTAATATAGGTTGGCAACTCGGGCTATTGTCCGGCGTATGCCCATGTGTCCGACGCAAGGTATATCGTGGTTCTCTTGTAGCACGTTTACGCGGGCGCATTTAGGCACACATAGCTTCCAGGGTACAGCCTCTTCATTCTGGGATCGACACGGAATGTTGCGATAAAGTTGGCCTTCCTTTTCCATGTAATCCGCGTACTTCTCTGGGTTTGCACGAACTTCCTCTACTCGCTTTTGCCACCATTTGCATTGTGGAGCCATCGTCGTCGCTTGCCTTATGGTCTCTAGCGGCTATCGGGACAGTACGTCTGCTACTTGGTTGAGTTTACCTTTACAATACTCGATGTCGAAGGCATGCTGTTGTAATTCTAAAAGCCATCGTGCTATATGACCGGAAGGGAATTCTATGGCCACCTCAGTGACATATGATCGGTTATAAATATCCCTCTAAGTAGGGTCTCATTTTCCGAATTCCCCAGACTATGGCTAGGAACTCCTTTTTGGTAGCTGAATAGTTTCTCATTCAATTTTCGGCTGGCGTAAGCTATTACGCGTTCGCTTCTTTCCAGATTCTGAGTAAGCACAGCACCAAGGCCTATATTGCTGGAGTCCGTCCGCTAAAGCAAATTGTTGGTCAAGCCCCCATTTCTACCGTCTCCCTTTCTTCAAGAGAGCTGTGAACGACATGGTCGCGAAGTAGGGTACAATACGTACGGGCGGCGATACCAGGAGCCTATCCCAAGATATTTAGTACTTCTTTCACGTTAGTTGGGGTCTTCAGCTCCTRGATTACTGCAACTCGGGGTGTTGTTGTTGTTGTTGTAACGACTGAAATTCTGCCGAGTTGACAGTCCTTGGCCGGATAAAAATCCGGGTCCGTTCCGGTTTTCGTAGACCCGACTACCGTGGGAACGGAACTTTCTCGAGGTAGGTGTGGATGCCTTTGTCAATGATCACGTGACCTAAATATTTAAGTTTCTTTTTCAAAAACTCACATTTCTAAGAGTTAATTCGGCGGTTGTTCTGCTGTAGTCCCTGCAGAACCTTTTTCAAATTCTGTATGTATTCCTCGAATGTAAAGCCTACAACGATTATGTCGCCAAGGTAAGCCAAGGCGTGTAGTTAAGTCTCCTGTGACCTGATAGAGTATCCTTTGGAACGTCGCAGGTGCCAAATGTAAGCATGGCATGTAAGAATGGCATGACGCGCCACTGGAATAGTTCGCGTCCAGATACGGTGAAACCTGTATATGGGCAGCTGTCTTGCTCCAAAGGTATCTGCCAGTAGCCGTACTTGAGGTCTATACTACTAGTATACCTTGGTCTTCGTAACTTATCTAGAATACGTTGTATCCTTGGTAAGGGGTATGCGTCGGGTGCAGATCAGGCGCTGAGTAGAAAATAAACAACGCATAAACGTCAAGTACCGTTCTTCTTCCGAACCAATACAATCGGCGCGCTGTGTGGGCTATGAGACGGGTCGATACATCCCTTCGACAGCAGCTCCTCGTTCTTGGCGTTAATAATGGCCTGCATCGCTGAGTTTCTTGGCAAATATCGTTGCTTGATAGGGCGGTCATCAGTCATGGTGGTTTTATGCTCCGCCACGGTCGTCACTCCCCTCATGCTTTCGAATGTTCGAAGTTCCTCGTTCAAGAAGACGCGTATGCTGGCCGCTTCGTTTCTCTGGTTAACGGTCGATGTATCCTCGAGTCGATTGATCCTCCTGCACTTAAGCTTACGTTTTCTTTTTCTCTTCATCCTTTGCATGTGTCTGGCGTAGTTAGGGTAAAGTTGCTTACGGCTTCGGATGACATGGTGCGGAAGGCTGTTGATTACTGTGCAACTGACGCTTTCAGCACTACAAGGTGAACCCCGCAGGATAGTATAGCTTCCRTGATGTTCCCCACAATATCCAATCCGAGTATGACGTCATCGATCGCTCTGGGCACGACGTGTAACACTGCCTTTAACGATGTCTGTCCGAGTTGAATGTTGGTCTCCACGGCGTCGAAAATCTTTCTGGTAATGCCATCCGCCATTTGTATTTCGATAGCTACGGTCACCTTCTTACCACTCCCGGTTGTGTCTTTTCGAGGCGCTAGTAACAATAACGGCTTCCGACAGTTCTCCGCTAAGCGTGATTAGAGCGTATAGCCGGCCGCCTTCCTGATGCATAATTACTGGTACGCCTTGTCTTTGGCGAAACCTTTGGTTATTTCCTTATTGTTGGCGTCAACATTCTTTAGTTAGCACATCCGTCCGGCCACACTTCCTGCAAAATAACTTACTGCATCTCTTAGCATAGTGACCTTCCTGGCCACATCTCCCACATGTTTTTCCCGGCCTAAAGGTTCGGCTCGTAGATTGTTGCTAGCGATGTGCATCTGCCGTTGTGGTATGTTGAGAAAACGCTTGATGTTGTGGTGGGCGTAGTGACGGCTCACTGGCATTTTTCACCTGTGTCTCGTCATCTCGCGTCGAGATTGCCCTACTCATCGTCGTTGTCCTTCCTGTATTCCATAGTACTCTTCTGCYAGTGTGATGAGTTCGGCTAGCGTCTCGAAATCGTCGCCGAATGTAGATAATCTTTCTGGCTATTTCGAAAAATCCTATCCAGTCGCTCCTCCTGATTATACCCAGCTTTTCCCATTAAGTTCTGCATGGCCAGACCGAGTCCTTGTATTTTTCTACCACGTGTTGTCTTCGTTGCCGTATATTATCTCCGAGTCGTTCAAAGTAACGTGCTGGTATAAAGAAGCGCAGAAAGTCCTTTTGAAAGTGATCCAACTCTCCCAATGTTCGTTATTGTTGCTATACCATTGGAGAGCGATACCGCATAGTAATTCTCCTATTTGTTCTTGGAAGGATGCCAACGTTTACTAAGTAAACTACAATCGCTCAACGAAACGCTAATGGGTCTCGCCCACCGTCGTACTTCACGGACCACTTCCTCACCTGGTCGATGATGGGTGCGAATGTGACTATATGGTTCTGTTGAAATAACAGCAATCTCAGTTGTTTTGTATGCAGCTTCCATTTTTTAAACTCTTTCCTGTATTTCGAGGTCTTCGTGCGCCTTGGCTGCCAGTGTAGTAATGCGCTTATGAATCACCCGCGCTGTGCATATTTRGTCAACTCCCGTTGCTCGAAGGAGATTAGTTCCTCCTTGGACACGGTGTCTAACCACACGAGATCTGCCATTTTCGTGCTAAATTTCTTCCTGATATTATACGATCCGCCGGGTCCCTGCTCAGGCGCCAATTGTAACGAAGCTTTTTGCTGCCTCTGCTTCTTATAACTTGCTGAGGTATACTCGCCGTACCCAGGGTTCATTACAATAAAATTGTAAACATTGGGGATCTATACAAATCGTACTTTATTTAACTTTATGTTATAATTACCTTTATAGTTACAAATATTATCTGCCGCGTTGTAATGTCGTCGCCCGAGGAAAAAGCAGAAATGTGCTGATAAGTATGGCTGTGTGCGCTGACGCTCCTGTGCTACGACGACTGCTCCCGGCTATTTCTACCGGCGCTTCTGTATGCTTCGATGACGATGTCAGGGTGTATACGTTGACGCTCGAATGCTACGACGACTACTTCTGCCGGCGCTCGTGTAGGCTTCAATGACAGTATCCTGATGTACATGTCAACGCTCCTATGCTACGACGACTGCTCCCGGTAGGATACCAATACTAGCTAGAGGATAAACTCACGTCAAAGTCCCCTGCTGACTGACTGATCATCAGCCATCTAACTCCCCACCAAGCCTGTGCTGCCTGCCAGCACATTCGCAACATGTTGCATTGGGACGGCGTGTATTGCTAAGACAGCRTATATTGCAGAAATGGCGTGTGTTGCTGGAAATGACATGGTTTTACCGCTGCGTAAGCTGGC